TATATATATATATATATATATAAACTCTTTCTTCTTGCCCTTTTTTTCTCATTGAACTATACCTCCTCCCACTCACCCCAATTCCTACACGCTAATCCCTCAACAACCCCAACAACACACATACATACACAGACAGACATACACAGAAAGATCCTCCCATTACTCCTTCTTCTTCTTCTTCTTCTCCTTTATCTTTATTATCTATTTCTTCTTCACCTCCACTGCAAACGGCTCACACCTCTTCTCCTCCCCCTCCTCCCACTGACTGGCACGCCGGCCGCTCCTGTCCAACTGCGGTGTCGGCGGGTTGTAGAAACTCGCCCCCCGCACTTCCCCCGGCGCCGGCTGCGTGTAGACCGCACGGCCGTACACCATCGGCGAGGCCACCCGCTCCTCGCCCTCCCCTGGCTCAGACTGAGTTGGCGGCGGCCCGGCGACCGGCAGTCTTCGCACGTCGCCCACCAGTCGAATGATGGTGCCGTCCGGGAGGAAAAAGGTGCGGGTGGCGCGGGGGCGGCGGGGCGTGCGGACGTAATTCTCCAGCGGCTGACCAGCAATCACCTCCGCATTGTTATTATTAGTATTATTATTATTGGGAGAAGGGATGTTAAGATTGTTGTTATTACCGTTATTATTATTATTATTAGTATTATTATTAATACGGCGGCGGCGATTATTATTATTGGAAGAGGTGTTGTTGTTATTATTATTGGAAGAGGTGTTGTTATTATTATTATTGTTGTTCTCTGGGGAGTCGGCGAGGAGAGAGAAGGCGTCGCTGATAAAGCGGCGGGGCCCGCGGGTAATAAAAAAGAGACCCATCAGTAATAATAAGATTACAAAGGAGCAAATAGTCGCGAGTATCGCCACACTCGCAGGGGAAAGGGTATTATTAGAGGTGTGTTCAGTTGCAGAGCTCGGGAGTTGAGAAGAGTCCACTTCCATGCACTACGCAATGTTTAAAAGTTGCTTCTTTGCTTTTCTTCTTCACGCTCTATTTGTTACCACTTTCCCTTATTGAGCGTGTTTGCTTTTTTTCTTTTGGTTTTTTTTTTTCTTACTTTTGTTTTGTTTCTTTCGTTCTACAAACTATCGTTGATATCAAATAAATCAATAAATAAATAAATAATATACGTTTATCTGAACAACACTTCTATATATATATATATATATATATAAACTAGACGTGAAAAATTGGAAAAGTAAGCTTTCCTTGATGTACCCAAGTCTTGTTTTGTACTTGGTGTGTAAACCAAAAGAGAAAGAATAAATTCCTACAAAATCTGCAATGAACCACTTTTAAAGCACAGAGGGAGAAAGAGAAAAATAGAGAGAAAAAGAGAGAATGAAAGAGAATAGGAAATAAATATAATCCACAAAAAGGATAAAAGAGAAGAGAAGAGAACAACAACAAACAAAGAAAAAAACAACATTACTAACACAGAGCATGATACCAAGCACTTCATACAAGAGAGAGAGAGAAAAAATGATAAATAAAGGGATAGAGAAACAGATAATGATATTCCATCAACATTACACAATTACAAGAATAACTACAAAAAAAAAAGAAAAACACACACACAGAAATCCCAAAAACATAAAGAAAAAACAATTAAATACCAAAAAAAAGAAAGCAACAACAAAAAAAAAAAAACACCTTGAAAATTTAGATGAAATACTTTTCAACCATCTCGGGGGAGACTTTTCAACCCCCAATATAAAACAACAACAACAACAAGAAGAAAACTAGAGATGCGAATCACAGCCTCTAGAAACTAAAGCCACCTCACGAAGTAAAAAGTTTCTTAATTCAAATGTATCATCCAACCTCACAAACTCCATGGAATTATGATTATTAAAACTTTCTTTACTATGAAAACTAGATAAAAAAAACGGCCCACCCTGCGGCTGCTCCAGTTGTTCCCTAGAATTGATAACAGCAGAACTACATAAAACATCCACTTCCATACATGCATCCGGAAACTCCATACGCAATGATGGCAGTAACTCTTTATCCACATATTCCTGCACAAGAAACAAAAGCCAAGGCACATACTTCGAAGAAGGGGGGTAACACTCAAAAAAGAATTTACAATCAGCAGGAAGAATACTTGGGTCAGTCTTTTCCTTCCCCACACCATTCGACGACATTCTTAACGACGCACTATCCTCATTATCAACATCAAAATATGCACCATTATTTACCAAATCACTAACCTTTAAAATCACTTTAGAGACATAATCCGTTATATCAACATCCCCCTCCGGAAGCGAAAAGAGCGAGTTCATCTCCTTACCAAAAACGGAAATCTGCCACCTAGCTATCACCTTGTTACCCGTACGAACCAACATTCCTGTGGGTTCCCCAACGATGCATCCATCCGCCTTGATGTTGTTATCCCGCAGGAACTCCGCAAGCACCTTGCCGCCGAGACAGCCCACCTCCTCGTCGTACGACCACGCAAAGTGGATCGGCTTCGCCCGCCGCATGCGGAGGAACTCCGGTGTCAGTGACATCGCAACAGCAACAAATCCCTTCATGTCGGATGTGCCCCGCCCGTACAGCCGGCCATCCTTCTCCGTCAGCGTGAACGGGTCACTGTCCCACTTCTGCCCGTCCACCGGCACCACGTCGGTGTGGCCGGAGAGAATGATGCCGCCGTCCGTCACACCGCCGTCGCCCGGCAGCGTTGCCCACAGATTCGCCTTTGTCTTCTCCGCGTTGTGCACCAGCGTGCACTTCACACCGAGCCCCTCCAGGTACTCCTTGCAGTAGTGGATGAGGTCGAGGTTGGAGTTGCGGCTCGTCGTGTCGAACGCCACCAGCTTCGCCAGCCACTCCTTATGATCCATCGCCTGCGCCGCCATTACTGGGAATCTCGCAATTACTTAGCCTTATTTAATGGAATGCAATCTGGAAAGGGTAGAAGCACAAAAAGAGAAAAAATGAGGAATAAAGGAAGAATACAGGGGCAGAGTGTATAGATATTTAGTCTACTTCCAGAGCGACAGAGGAGTAGTGTTTTATGGAGTGTAGTAGAACGTTTTTCTTTGTTTTTATCAGAGTGACGGTTGTAGGAGTGAATGAATGTTTTGGGTGAAGTTTAGAGGTGGTGAAATGGTATTTTTTTTTTCTTCTTTTTGTAGAGGAATTCAAACATTTTTTCTTTTTTGTGGTATATGTTTTTTTTTATTTTTTTATTACGGAATGGGAGGGGGCTCATTACGATGAATGATAGAATCTGATGGAGGTGTGTTCCCAAGAAACATATGATAATTGAATTCTTTACAGTATTTAAAATTAGTATACTATTGATGCTGAAATATTCGTACGTACCTCATATACCCATGGAGTTAAGATTGTCAGTATTTGATTGTGTCTTTTTTTTTTCCTCGCCAAGAATTATTTCAGTCTTTCAAGCTGTGTACATAGGGAAATGAATGAGTACAGATATAAGTCTGTACTTGGTTGTTTCCGTGGGTTTTTTTTTTATATTAGTTAACTTTGTTGCTTTTTCCCGATTTTAATTATTATTATTTTTTTTTGGTTCTCTCCATTTTTTTTTCTCAGTCAGACCTGTAATTGTGTGGTTTCACCCCCCGTTGAGGTATGAACATCTGTTATGTTCATTATTTTTAACATTCTTCGAGTTTCTCTTTAGATATACTTGTACATGGGTAAAAATAGAACACATTAGAGTTCGTTTTTTTTTTATTTTTATTTTCATCACCTATTGACGTTCGTCTTGGGTCTTCACAGTGAGAGACACACACACACATACACATACACAAAGAGAGAGAGAGAAATACCATAACATTACAATTCCAAACCTTCCTTTCCCTCTTCGTTCATTCTCCCTTTTTATTTAGATATACAGCCCCAAGCAGAAGAAGCCAAAAAACAAAAAAGAAGAAGAAGAGAACACCGTTAGAAAACGAGTTTATCTGGTTTACCAATAGCCCAACAATATGTTGGGTAGGCAAGCAATAAAGCTGCATATACTCCCATTCCACCCGTTAAACCCCAAAAGGGTATAGTGGAGTCCTCATGTTGCCAAGGTACAAAACAATTCATTCCCCACTGTGAAGCAACAATGGTAAGTGGGAGAACAATGATCAGTATATACTGTAATACCACCATACGATAGTCTGACTGATTACTACTGTTGTTATTTTGTGTTGCCACTCCAGAGGTGTAAATAATAGTGGCATTACCCAATACAGTACGTACACCATCCAATTGTCGTAAAAGATGAAGAATACGTTCTGCAATAGAAACACTTGTGTAATTATGAGCTTCTGCCAGTGGTCCGAATACACCACTGGATGATATTCCTTGTTCAGCTTTATTGGGTGAAAACATATTTTTCTGTTGCAATACTCCCCCATTATTATTATTATTATTATTATTATTATTATTATGATTATGTGGATGATTCTTCATATCTGCCGTTACAAATGGTAGAAGTGTCCGCATCACTGGCCTTCCCAGTTGCTCCAGTAGATTTACTTTACTAAGTAACAATCGCCTATGTACAGAGAGTGCACGGCGTAGTAATAATACTCTACGCAAGGCATCTGATTGATCAGATTCACGGTGTCGCAACAGTGGAAGTACAGCATCAATGGCCTCTACTTCATCTAATACCACTGCAGGATCTGGTAGAAATGCCTCACACACCTCATCTAATAATACATGTAGTAATAAGGATGGAGTGAGTGGACCGCAGGGATTGTGTACAGACGAAGAGTGTGGACGTTGAGGATTATTATTATTATTATTATTATTATTATTATTATTATTATTATTATTATTATTATTATTATTATTCTCATATTTACCGTGTGTGGGTAAAGAGTGATATTGATATTTATTATTATTCGCACTGTGTCGTTGTAGTGCACGGGGAATATAGGACCAACCCACAATCGCTGCAGTGGGCCGCCATGTTACCATCCCATCACGAAAACATAATAACAACAATGAAGATAAATCCCGTTCATCATCCACATCAAAGAGAGTGGCATGTAAACGATCCGGCATCTCTGCTGTTGGATTTGTCGTACAGCACTCACGTGTTGGTTCTCTTCCTTGTTGTTGTGATTGTGATTGTAGAGATGGTGTAGTAACATGAGGGGTACTTTCTGGAATAACAGCAATCTGAAGTTGGATATACTGTTCCTTCACAAATGTCTGTAATTGATCTAATTCCCCAGATACACTTACATCTTCTAAAGATGTCCACATCTCCATATTCTCTGTTTCTGCTTGCTTTTCCACACCTAAAGAGGAATCCTCTTCTTCTTCTTCTTCTTCAGATGAGGAGGATGTATGTATACCAGCTTCTGTTCTCCACTTTGTTTGTGTGCTGGAGTGTACATTTAATAATGTAAAGAGAACATCCAAATCATATGATTTTGGTGTTCCCGTTATATCAATCCAAAAGAATGAAAGAGGAATATCTTTACGAGGTAAAAGACTCCTTGTAGAGTTGGGATGAGATTGCATAGATACAGAGATAGATTTCTCCTGTATACGAAGTGAACCCATATGATGATCACGATGCGTATCTTCTCCCATCATTTCACGAAGAGCTAATACCACTTCTCCCATTTGATTCATATTTTCCCATTCATGACTACTGCCATCTTCAAATTGAAGAAGAAGTCGTACTTTCATTGGAGTTGCCTGTTCCTTCATTTCCACTTTATTATTATTATTATTATTATTATTATTATTATTATTATTATTATTATTATTATTATTATTATCACTATCACTATCATCACTATCATCATATTCTTCTTTTTCCTTGTGTGGATGTGGATAGTGACGAGTATGGATAGAAGGATTCGCACCCATTCGCCCTAAAGAGGCCCGCACATCATCGCCGGTGAAGGGCGCCGTGTGTTCATCCACGCGTTGTTGTTCTCTCTGCTGCTGTGGGAAGAAAACAGCGGAGGCGTTGTTGTTATTATCATTACTTCCTTCTCTGTTCTCCAGTACAGTGAAGCCATCTCCCATGGATGGATTAAATACAGATCCCATAATGGATACGTTATTATTATTATTATTATTTTTATTATTAGTATTATTATTAGCTTTTCTCTTTTCGTTCTTGTTAATGTGTGTGTTGCCTTCCCGTTAGACGTTCTTTGTTTTTTTTTTTCTTTTTCTGTTTTTCTCTCTTTTACTACCCACAAACCCTCACGCTACTGGAGTGTGTGTATGGATAGATAGAGAAGAGTACGTACGTATATATATGTGTAATACTGTATGTATGTATGTATGCTTTCTACAGCAGTACTTGTTTCCTCTTTCTTTTTGTTTGTAGTGTTGCTCTTATTTACTTTGAATACTAGGCTATTTCCATAACGTGCTAAAATAAATCTACTACACCGCAAGAAAAAGAGAAAATAATAAGAAATTAAATAAATAAATAAATAAATGAGGTA